AAATATATTTTATTACTTTTTTCGTAAGCTTTTCTTGCATTCTGTTTTCTTTACATTAAAAAAATAACCCCTTATGTTCATTTTGCATCACAACAGCAATAGAAGGTCCTTTTCTGGATCTTCAGTTTAAAAGTTTGAGTGTGTCATCAACATACGATTAAAATTTAAACTTCCGTGTAATGTACTGCCTTCAGACCAAAGATTTTGAAGGTTTAGCTGTGGCTCAGTTTTGCCCAAGGCAAAAAATGCTGGCAACAGGGGAGGTTACAAAGTAATATTTATTTACAATTAAAGGTCTATAAGAGTTCATATAAACCTTTAAGGTTTGACACAGTGGGGGTGGAGATAATGATGATAATGATAACAAATTTAGGACACACAACAAAGACTTTTGTTTTGTTTTAGTAAGCTTTTACGGCGCTCGCAACTGCATAAGGTCATTTGAGTGCCAAGGGGTGGATGTCAACAGAGAAGTCTAAACAGGGAATCAGGCTTACTCTGCTCATCTCTCTAGCCTTAAATGCACAAAGTCTGCTTCGACTATCAAGGCAGCCCGGAAATAGCAGCTCACAAGAGAGTGACAAAAACATACAAAAGAAGTAGAGGAAAAAAATGACAATAGTAAGGATGAGGAAAGAAAAAGCAGCAGTTCCCCCTTTGTTGTTCCGGAGGAGTATGAGCATGACATTGATCAATCAGTCCATTTACAATAATGTGCATAAAACAACATGTTAATACCCCCCCCCCCATTGGGAATGGCCTAAATAAACTTCAGTCAGTAGCACTGCCCTGGGGGGGGAGCAGCAAAAACTTCGTTGAAAGAAAGAATTGACTTTGGTTGAACTTAACATGAAATTAAATGCGAGACAAACACTGAAAAAGGTCATTATTTGGTTTAAATTTAATTAAATGGGGGAAACATTTTTCGAACATAAAAGCTTTTTTCGAACATAAATGTTAAGATTTGATAACGACATAAGAAACCTTAAATGAATTTGTCTCATCCATCGTTATTCTTCTCGCCGTCTTGCATCGCACAACAATACGCTTTGAATGGATTGACAGGAACAATAACAATGCACGTTCCTCCACCCCTATTATTTTTTGTTTTTGGAATGGTTCTTTCGAGCATAACAAATGATGACAGAGCACCAGGCATCTCAGAATTTCCATTTACTGCAAAATTGCACACGATCATAGCCTCGAAATCAGCCAGGGCAGAGAGTAAACATTGAACGATATTATGCTCATTCCAGGGCCCCAAAATGGCAGATAGAAACAAAGTTACAGGGAATCGAAGTTGCCTTGCAAAATGACTACATGAGTTATGCTCGAAAATGAAAATCTAAAAGGCTCACAAAGAAAAAAGAGCTACAGGTATCATTAATACTGATATAGCACCACAAATAATGTAACTTTATAGTAGTAAGAGTATAGAAGGACAATTTTCTCTGCAATTATTTCGTTGTTGAACTTGACGACAGAAAAAGTATGAACTTGACGCGTCACGTTTTGCATTCTAAAAACACATCAATTTCAGAACTAAAAATATTTATAAGATTTCTTCTGATGGCCTGACTGCTATTTCTCTGCTCCCATAGCTGAAACATCATATTAAGCACAACATATATACAAATTTAAAAGCTGTAGAACCATTTTTATTGGAACAGGAAAGGATTTTGTAAATTTGCATATGTTGTGCTTCAGATGTTTCAGCTATGGGAGCAGAGAAATAGCACTTGGGCCATCAGAAGAAATCTTATAAATATTTTTAGTTCTGAAATTGATGTGTTTTTAGAATGCAAAATGTGACACGTCGAGTTCATACTTTTTCTGTCGTCAAGTTCAACAATGAAATAATTGCAAAGAAAGTTGTCCTTCCAATCTATACTTTTACTACTCTATTGGCAAAGGCTCATATTATAGGCTACATACACAAAAACATAATCTGATGTTATTGATATTTCTTCCATTCATTCTGAGACTTGGACTTTCTATATTTCTAAGGATTGAATTGTTTCACTATACGCGTTAAAAGAGGTCTGACGATATGACACAATCTTGCCTAACTCCGCTTTTAATATATTTGGAGTTTGTGTTCTCTCTAAATCCACAGGCTTTTAATAGTGTTTTGTCCCCCAGTAAAGATTCCAAAATTATTTTACTTCCACTCCCATCTTATGCTCAGGTACTGTCAATTCCATCCATCTTATATATGAATTTTCAGTTGCTATCCGTCGCAAATTATAAATCTAAGCCTTGTTTATGTTAATTTTTTTTTTCCAATCGGGCAGGCGGGGACTTTGGGAGACCCCCCCCCCCCCCCCTCCCCGGGTGTTCAGTGTATTTTCCCAATAATTTGATGTTTTGTAATAATTTTGAGGGAGATTTTTTTTTTAAACCATTGATTTGTGACCGTTTTAGTTTTAGAGGCCATGTGTGTGCCAACTGTCAACGTGGTTTGGCCCCTGGAAATACTGCAACTGAGTGGGGATGATAGTATCAAATTTAGTTTTAAAAACTACCAAGAACTAACTCTTTGACTACCATGAGCCAATCTGTCGGCTCCATAACTTCCTAGTTCGTGGCCAAGAGCCGAATTATCTGCTCGCGCTTTTCTTTCCCTTTTCCTTCCACAATTTGACTCAACCTTTCCGTTTAAATGTTTTTAACTGCTCTGCTTACCATACATCAGTCAACCAGTGAAGGAATTTGGCCCCTTTTGTGTTTTATTCTGCTGTTTTTTTGGCATTTTTTCTTTTTTTTTTTACCCGCCCTGTGTTGCTCGAATTAGTTTACACGCATAGCAATGGCAAAATGGCTGATAACCCATCAGGTTCCCGCCCGTCATAACTTTTTTCTGCTTCAAAAGCCCTGGAAAAGTTTGATGGGGAACTGTCAGTACTTTCCCATAGTGATGTATGAGCCTGATGAAGTTAGACCTGAGTCGGACAGCAGCGACAGCGATGAGAATGAAGATTCGCAAAGGGGGGCGTGTGTGCAGCGTTTTTTTCTCTTTTTTTCATTGTGAGTGATTTCACCAAAAGAGCGACAACTTAGTATACTTGACCATTGTGCATGAAACTTGGCCCAGTTAGAGACAATTGGATATACTTTAGTATGACCAAGTCATGAAGTGATTTGATTTAGCAGCTATACACTGTGAGAAATGTAAGTTGAAAATGTTTTTTTTATTTTTTTATTTTTTTCACCTTGTGTTCACTTACCTCTAATATTTGTTTGGATTTTTATGATTTTTTCCCATTTTTTTATTAGATTAAAAATATTCTACATTCAATTACCTTCATTTTGGTATATAACATGTCTGACTTCCAGATGGAATTATGCCCATCAGACACAAAAGAAGAACAGGGGTACTTCTGAAATTCTAAGACTAAGAAATGCCTTGGTCACAGCGCGGAAAATGCCTTGGTAGCCAAAGAGTTAAAGAATCAAAGCTAAGAAGACTCCTAATAATTCTTATATATTTTCATGTAAGTTCAGCTCTCCCGAAATATAACCTGTTCATGCATTTATCTAATTTTGTCAAAATCCCTTCAGAACAGTAATCGAGGCATTCTACATTTTTCATTATTTCACCATATTAAAAAATTTAATCATGAATTATGAGTAAAATTGTGTGATCTAATGTGGAACAAACTATGGCTTAGTCACTTTCGTCTGGCCAAATAAAATTCTTTCTCATTTATCAATTTACGAGACTTGATGCCTGCAAAATTTTGCACAGCACGTCTGCGGGCCAGAAAATGAAACCATTTGTTTTTTAAATTTTGAACCAGCAATAAAAAAAGGTTTCTATAATTGACCCCAATTCTAAAAAAACACTTATTTCTGGTGCATACACAGGATCACTAAAATAAATGATTTACAGTAACCTAGCCTACATGATATAATTAAAGAATTGCTCATTTTGAGACAGTACACCGGCCTGCCCCCACATTCCAGTGTAAGCGCATGCATAGATTTCATCCCATCACACATTGTATGATTGTTCTCATGACAGTCTTAACTGTCTAGACATCGCCGAGTGAGTCTCGAAAATTACTCATCCATCTGTTGACGTACATTAAAGCGTGGTGTTGATGAAAATGGGTCAACTTTTTAATGTTTTAGGTGTATGCTGTAAATCCCCTGTTATTTTTTTACCTGCTTTAAGAGGCAGGCTAATGTCAAAGAAAATGTGTCAGGTTCTTAGTTTGCAGAGGAAAGTGGCTATTCTCACCCGCCCGGAAGTTCTCGCAAGATCAACTCCTCCCCTCTTCTCTCTCTCTCTCTGTCTCTTTCTGAATACTGTCTATCGGTGTGGACGATCAAATTGACCAAAACAAAGTTAAAAATGATGTTAAAAAACAAAAGTAAATTAATTTGGTTGTCTACAAAGATGCTACGGCTATTCAACTTTTCGAATCGAGCCGAACTACGCGGGTCGCCATTTTGTTTTTCCCGGAAATTCTCGCGCTACTCCTCTCTCTCTTTCTCTCTCCACTGCCCCCAGACAAAATTGTACGCTTTTAGTAGGCTACAGTTGTAATGGAACATTTGTTCACGGCACAGAATTCTACAATTTTTCTGTTATCACAGTGTAGAATTCTGTGGTTTAGGGTGAACGCAAAATTTGGTGAACGCGCACCAGGTGAGAATAGCCACAAGACTCGCCTGCACTATTCTCACTCCGGGTGAGAATAGAGGTGGCCTTTGCAGAGACCTTTATGTATGGGCTTTAAGATTTACTACAGTCATACAACTTTCAGACCCGTATGCAAACATCTTAAAAGATTAGACTGAGCGATTTGATAAAATTATCTTGTTTTTTAACCGCGGTCAGACGAATATAATCGACCTCCTCAGACTCTATACGTAGGTGTAAGTAAACAAGTTTGAAGTGGAACAATAGACACTGTCTTGAAACTGTGTTCCTTTCCATTTAAAACAAACACATTTCTAAATAACTCCAAGACATCATTCTACTGAATACTCACTGGTGCGTTTCAGCAACAATATATCTACATGGAAGTAAGCATTGAGACTGCAACAGGTTGCGAGTTTTCTCTCCTTTTCTTCTCACCACAGCAGCACGACGTCTGTGGTGTGGCTACAGAACACAACAAAACTTAGCAGGGGTCAGGGTCAACAATGTTGGGCAGATTTTCTCACATCTGATAACTGTATATTTTATTAGTCATTCTAGATCACATAGATATTAGTATGGTTTCAATAACTGAGTTCACAAGCATTTGTTATAAATATTTCTGAAGGCATAAAAAAATATCATGACACGTAGGCCTTTGATAGTTAGAGTATTAGATCTAGTAGCCTAATTGGCAGTGTTCGACAGCTGACACAAGATTGCTGCTACGATTTGTTTCCACTTCCGTCTGCTAGTTAACCTGCAGGTGCTCTGTGTACAGAGTGTACTGCAAAATAATAGACGGAAAATGAAATTGTATCCGAAAATTGTGACGGGAACGTTGAATGCTCATAACAAAGATGCCTGTGACTGGTAAGAGAACTAAAAATCTTTTAAAAAAGCTTCACAGCTGGAATCTAGAGTCCAGATTCTATATTCTATTTTCAAAATCATTGAACAGTGTCTGCTTCATAAAACTTAGAACTGTCTCAGTTGAAAAACAAATGTCTGCCCCCCCCCTACCCCTACCCCTACACACTAACAATAAATTGTAAGTTACACTACTACTATAGACTTTGGTGCTTTTTCGGTAGTTCCCACCCCCGTTATTTGAGCCTAGATCTAGATCTACATCGAGATCTAGATTCTAGATCTATACGTTTGATGCTCGGCGATCTAAGCCTAACAACTGCAAAACATCAAATTGTGAATTTTGGTAAAATTCAGAATTCAGGCATGCCCCCCTGAAACGCCCCACCATATTTTTATTAGGGCAAG